AAAAACCAAAAAAAAAAAAAAAAAAAGGAAGAGAACTATTGATTTCATAATACACACTGAAGGAAGTAAAACAGAGCAAAGTGCCACTGGGGATACTGCCAAGACAAAGCCTTTTATTTATTTATTTATTTATTTATTTATTGTTTTTTTGAGACAGGGTCTCGATATGCAGTTCAGGCTGGCCTTGAGCTCACTTTGTAGCCCAGGCTGGTCTCAAACTCGCGATGATCCTCCTGCCTCAGCCTCCCGAGTGCTGGGATTACAGGCGTGCGCCACCATGCCCAGCAGACAAAGCCTTTTAATTTACTTACCTTGCATGATTCTTTGGTGGAAGCACAAATCTCTTGGCTAGGGGTGGGCATTATGGTCTGGTGAGAAGGTAAAAGGAAGGAAGTGAGAATTTTATGTTTATAAACGGCATGAATTTTAAGGTTCACTATGATCTGATAATTACTGAAGCTAGATAATGGTATGCGGGGGGTTCATTATACAAATCTTTCTATTTTTGTATATGATCAGAAATTTTCCATATAAATAGGTTAAAACTTAATTTTAATATAAAGATAAATAAATGGGCCGGGGATGCAACTCAGCAGCACAGCGACTGCCTGGCAAGCGGGAGGCCCTGAGTTCAATTCCCCGTACAAATAAATAAATAAATAAAAGTATAAATAAAGAATATTTAGTTCAGTGTTAGCTATGCTTGAGGCCCTGAGTTCAATCCCCAGCACAAAAAAGAAAGAAATAATGAGTGGACTAGTTAGTATAAAAACATCAGCTGCTACCTAATCCTCACAAGCACTCACCCAGGTTCCGTAATTAATTATCTCACGTGGTTTTCACTACATATGCCATTCTGCAAGTGGGAAGCCTGAGCCTCAGTAAGGTCAGTTACCTTTCTCAAGGACCTGACAGCAAACCCTTTGGTAGTATGGGGTGATTCAGGAAACACCAGCAAAAAGGCTGAGACTAAGGAGGGGGTCAGTTATTCAGATCCTCATTCTGGAATGAGCCATCTTCTCCCTTCAGCTGGTGGTTGGAGACCTTGGACCAGGTGGGCGGAATCCCCATCTGAAGGTGCTCAAAGGGCCAGCAGTGCTGACAGAAAGCCCACTGCCTGCCCTGCCAGCTGCTGCTGCCACCTTCCTCATGGAGCAGCATGAGCCCCGGACTCCAGCTCTAGCACTGGCTTCAGGCCCTTCTGTCTATGTGTATAAGAATCTAAGACCCTACTTCAAGTTCACCCTGCCCCAGTTGCCTGCAAATCCTGTGGAACAAGACCTTTGGGACCAGGCAAAGGAAGTAAGTAACAAAGGGGATGGGAACAAGGAAGCAAAGATAGCAGCCATTGGTGAGATGGGCCAGGCTCCCAGCAAGAAGCGTGGGGTCCCCAGTGGGCCGGTGGTGGGAGATCATCCACAGCCCAGCACCACCAGTAGCAGTGGTGGCCCTTCTCAGTGAGGTGCTGTGCTCAGCCCTTCAGCTGTGGTTCCCAGGAAGGCACCCAGCAGGTCCTTTGAAGAGTGGAACCTAAGGAATCCTGCAATAGCCACACCTGTACCCACCTGTCAGGGAAAGGAAACTAAAGAAGGGTGGGGCTCCCCAGAGAAGAGGGGGCAACTGAGAGCTGCAAGAGCAAGGGGCTTTGAGGGAGGCGTGGATAAAGAAGATTCTGTCCATCACTGTGCCTCTGAGGCTGGATTCAAATCAAGGACCCTGGGCTTGGGGCTCAGTGAAGGGAAGTAGGGGAGGAAGAGGAACTGCCAGAAGTGTAAAGCTCCCTGAGGGGATGGATGCCAGAGTTCACAGGCTCTCCCTTCTTCCTCTGCTGTCGCAGGACCGGATTGATCCCTTAACCCTGAAGGAGATGCTGGAGGGCATCCGGTAAGAGCCCACCTTCCCCCAGCCGCTCCTATACTCCTGCATCCCAAAGCTCTCAGTCTGACCCCTGGGGCCTGCTTCCTCCAGTAAACCTGCCACTCTGGCTACTCTCCTCACAGGGAGAAGGCAGAAATACCTTTGTCGGTACAGTCACTAAGGTAAGGGCCCTGTGAAGTCGTGGGGAAAGGGTGTGGCTGTCAACTGGCCCCAGAGGCATCCAGGACAGAGCGTACACCTGCCGGTTCTCTCTGTGTCCAGGTTTCTACAGCTGGAGCTGAGTGAAATGGAGGCCTTTGTGAACCAAAACAAATCCAAGACCATCAAGCGGCAGGTAATGCTCCCCTCTCTTTTTTTTAATTGCCCTGTAAAAAAAATTTATTTTTTTTCAGAGACTATGTACCATCAGTAATAAATTCTACCCAAACCCAACCTGTTTCATTGTACAGTTTCCCTTCCAGCTATACCATATGTATATAGTCAAAAGTCAAATGTACCTTGTGTATTTCCTTAATGGTGACAACCCCCACCCGTACCCCAGCAGTGCTGAGGATAGAACTCAGAGCCTTGTCATGCTAAGTAAACACTGTACCACTGAGCTTACACCCTCAGCAGTGATTGCTTTTAATACATAGAAACCATGCATCTATCTGTGGTCTCTACTCAGGAGGCTGAGGCAGGAGACTTAAGCCTAGAAGTTCAAGAGCAGCTGGGCAACATGAGAAGACTCCATATCTTTAA